AAAATAATTAATAAAAACATATTAAAAAGAAAAAAAGCCTCATAATGAAGTGTGCCTAAACTTCAGCCTTTAAAAAGGAAAACTCTCGCTTGTGCCTCCTCCACAGTTTGTGTCTATGAAGCTAAGTAGAAGCATCAGTGCTATTCAATGAACAGCTGTAGGCAGGAGGGTGAGCTGGGGGTCAGCTGCCAGCGCTTCTGAAGGAAAGCTTAGTTTGGCCTCTTTCCAGGATGAAAACCATGAGATAAGGCAGCTACCTTCCCATGATGTAGTAGGAATTCTTGACCTTGTTGGCAGGACAGCCACTGGAAGGCAGGAAAGCAGAAACTTCTATCGGGGTCTCCATGTTGAGTTCTTTCTTGTGCATCTACTGTGATGGGAGACAGTGAGAATAGCCTGTTTTGTTTTCTGAGGCGCTTCTTTCTCTTGTTATGTTGGCAGGTGAAGTGGATTTTCTGTGACCTGAAAGGAAAGTTTTCAAAAGACAGGCAGACAGTTTATGTAAGATTTCCTGGAAAGGAAACTCACAAAGGAGTAGAGCGATGGCTTCTTTTCAGGTAAACACATCCAAGGGCCTGGAACCCATACACTTTCTTACGTAAGGCAATCCCTTTGCCATGCCTTTAATCCCAGCAGTTGGGAGGCAGTGGGGTGGGGGTGGGGATCTTCATGAGTTTGAGGCCAACCTGGTCTACATAGCAGGTGTCAGGCCAACTGGGCCTACAGGGAGACCTACTCTCAAAAAGACAAATATATACGTACTACATATACATACATAACTATATATGTAGATATATGTATGTATATGTAGTATGTATATTTGCTGTTTTAGACTTGTTACATAGACCAGGCTTCCCTGGCTCTCACAGAGTAAGTAAATGAAGATAAAAAGAGAAACTAATGTAAAAAGATTCTGTTAGGATATTTTATGTGCTAATGTACTAATTATCTCTTTTCTTTCACCGGTTCAGTACCCTGCTGACGGGTACATGGTCAAGTTGTCTTTTTTCATTTTAGGATCCATTGACATTCAAGGATGTGTCCATAGACTTCTCCCAGGACGAG